ACCATCATCGTTTTCATTCCGGTTTTTGTACAATTTGGATTGTAAATTGCCCATTGAAAGTACAGTTGTGAAATAAACCAGTTTTGTGATTCATCATACTACTTGTAACTGTGGATATTTGACGTTCAGCTGTACTTGGTTCGACCGAAGTTTGAGACGCGGCGGGACGCGGTGTATCATGTACGGCGACCTCAGTTCCAACATCTGACCTGGATTCCTTTGGTATAACCAAAGTTTTGTGACAGTATGACTGAAAACTGTTGTCGTTGTTCTGGGGTAAGTTTGATGGTGTAAGATTGGATTCTCGCATCGTTTTTGTGACACGTACATGATATGCCTTGTCTCAACTCCGGCCGAAAAAAAGACTTTGCAAACCGTTGCTCCAATACAGTGGTTGGTATACATATGGCAATTAACTAGAATTCGAACGCCGCTACGGGACACCGGTTGTTATTGGTGGCATTCATTTTTGCCTGTGACTCATAGTTTTTTGCATTTTTTTGTCATTCAATCCCTCAATCTTATCTAGTACTTAAAGATCATGTTTTCTTTGTTGGAGGTTCGCAATCCATATCAAAGTCGCATCACGCGATCACGGAGAACACACCTCACGGTGTTGAGGGAGGGGACTGCCCTATGTTCCGACACCTCAATGTTCCGACATCTCTATGTTCTGACACCCCTATGTTCCGACATCCGTATGTTCCGACACACAGTATACTTGTGTCAAACGTAATCTGACAACATTCTTTGTTTGCCTCCACACGTTATACGTGTTCCTATCAATCTAAGACATTGATAGTTCTCAGAGAATTATCGGAGAATTATATGTTTAAAAAAATTAAACATCACCCAGCTGTAGACCCTGTCTAATATCAATCTAAAACATCGAGAATTATCAGATATTTATCCGATAATTCAAATGTACAATATGCCGACTTCCTCTAATGCGAGATGCCAGGATATTGCACAAGTTTATACTACCTGCAAATTTGATGCATAATTCATCGTTCAAGGTCCATATTATACAGATTTCCTTAAGGAAGTCAGAAAGCACTATTCTATTCTATTCTATTCTATTCTATTCTATTCTATTCTATTCTATTCTATATTCAAGTCATGTTTCCTTATGTCTCCGCGTTTTACTTTGTTGTTCCATTGCATTGTTCTGATATTCCGATTTATTCTGAAAATAATCTCATATGTTATAATTACAGTTGGTATTATAATAATACACAATTTAAATACTTGTTAAAACTTGTATATCTTTTATTTTTTATATTATTTATTTGTAAATATCCTTCATGTTCTGCAGATGTATTTGAAACTGCCTATTCGCTCCATTGTGCAGTCGTCGATTTTGTATTTTACGTTTGTGCAAATTACCCCCAACTTCTTTGCTACATATGTTTAATTTACTTATGTAAATCTTAGGTCAGGCAACGTCTCGCCATCTTTTTGAATTCCATTTTCTTCTATATGTAATTTATTGGCAGTATAATAACGTTCTCTTAAATAAATAAATAAATAAATAAATAAATAAATAAATAAATAAATAAATAAATAAATAAATAAATAAATAAATAAATAAATAAATAAATAAATAAATAAATAAGTAAATAAAGTTTAAGAAAACATAGAAAGACTTATTTTCAAATGCATATAAATATGTCATAACTAGTTCATTTTATCATAGACAGAATTTGCCCAGAAAATGCCGTTTGATGATTTTGAATAATGTATAATAAAGTTAATGAATTCATAATGTCAATAAGAATTGGATTATACGATGTAATAACCAACGTAATACTTGTACGCTACACCAATATAGCTTTAATTTGATATATAACATGATGGTGTTTGTCTGAGGTATTCCTATTTAATATGTGACAGGCTTATACGTAATTATGCAAATATTTTGAAAAAAAGGTGTCTGTCACTTAAAAAACTTCCAAATCCAGATTCTTTGTATAAGGTTGATCCCATTTTTTAAAAGTAACACATTTACCCTGATTTTCGGCGGCAAATTATACCCTTTATATCTCAAAAACGGCTCAGATACTACAGCCAAAA